TAAGGGACTTTGACTTCGACTTTGACTAAAAAGTTAATTAATAAAAATACTACTTCAAAATATATTACAAATTTATTTTTGGATTAAACTGAGTAATGTTGTGACATTGGGATTATCTTTATTATGTGCTCAAGCTAGGTGTTGACATTAGCTTTAGAAGAATAGAAGTATTATATGTTCAAGAAGTACTAAATTTTATACTGTAGTACATGTTATTGTGAACTGTGTATCATCGTGGCTAAAAGCTGTCTTGTTGATTTAGAATTAATGTGTTGGTAAACATGTAAGTATAAGTGGGTATAGGAAAAGTACATTATTATTAACATGTTTCACAAGTTGTTGGTGGTTTGGCATTTTTTTGTTGCAAAACAACTAGGCTATTTGTGTCACACAAGTTGTAAAGAGAGGAAATCCACTGTAACATCAAAGCTTAAGCTTCAGAAAAAAAAATTTAAAAACTTAAATTTGGTGCTTCTTTCTTCCAGAATAGCATTAAAGTCTATGATAACAATATTCTGGGGAAAATACCTACAGTTAAGCCTTGGTGATTTCTATGAAAAAAAAGTTTTTGATATGTGCAAGTAGAGGTGTATTTTAATGCAAAATATCAATGCAATTGATGTGATAGCACTTATATAGGCAAAACAGGATGTAACAAATGTTAGAATCAAAGAACATAAACCCATCACACATTTACGAACACAGCACAACAAACCAATATTAGCAACTTTAAAATATTGTGTCATGAAAACAACATTAACAGAAGAAAAATAAAAAGAAGCATTAATTATTTGTAAACTAAAACCTAATATAAATCCAAACACAGGTGTCACCCTGTGTGTTCTCGAAGTAGGAACACAATGCTCGTGCAACTTTCTAATATTTCATGCACTAGATGACAGTTTACCTGATGATGATCACACAAGTGGTCGAAATGTTATAAAAATTAAAACAATTCATTCAAAAAGCTTTGTCTGGACTTTTCTTTATGCTGCACTTGTGTTAGACCATGTTTCACTTGAGTTTAACTGAGATAGGTCAGTTTCATGAAATTTATCATGTCAAGCTTATGGTTGGCTTTGCGTGGTACATAGACATATATTCAGTGTATTTTATGAATTAGTACATTCCTGCTTTTGTTTAAAGTAAATAAGAGTATAATAGCCTTTCCTAAATATTTAATATTGTATTAAATTAATACTTCATGATAGAATGTACAAGAAATTGTTGACATTTCCAAGAAGAAGGATTTTGCTCCAATTTAAATGTGTTTGATTTTGTTAGCTGGCAGTCCACTTCTTGCACTAATTGTTTGACTACATACATATGCATACTTACAAGGTTTAATGAAGTATATGAAACTTCAAAGTTTTTTGGTTGTTTTTATAGTAAAACAGAGTAACATACTGTGGCTATGTTCAGACATTCCACCCATAATACAAGTTAAGTATTAAAACAGTTACAAGGATGATAAACTAAATTAACTTGGAAATAGTTTATATTTTTCTTATATTGTGAAATGATTTTTCTAACAATAGTAATGCTCTTTGAAATACTAATATAAAATTATTATAGCTGAAATGAATAGTGGATATTACTATTTGGATACTTGAAAATAAAAATATCTTTTTTGTGTATTTGTTGTACATTTTTACTTTAAGTTAAAAGTAATTGCTCACAATGTTGATAATATAATTTACAGGCTGTGTGAAAGAGTGTCTTCAAAGATACTAAATTATATTTAGTATAGCTTTATTGTTAAAATTACTTGCTTTCAGGATTATACAGATGTGGGCAAAAATGATACTGCCATTATCACCTTATTAATGTATAAATTGGATTGTACTATAGTCAACTTGTTATACTCCACCTACATTATTTTTTATGTCATTTTTGCTTATTTTTATCACTGTCAGAATCATTTACCACCAGTTAATCCCACAATTGAGTTTATATTTAGCATCATTGGTTTTTTTTTTAGATTTCAGGCATATGAAAGTTTTGTAATTTGCAAGTACTTGTACCTATCAAGTAATCCCAGTTGTTTTCCCTATAAGTTTTTCATCTGTTTTCAGTTGTCCAGAGTTCATTAAAAAAATATCTTTGTAAAGTTTGTTTTCTCTTTCTATTACGTGAAGTTTATAGTAGGACTCTTGGAAATTTACACACAATTGTGATCAGGCTTAAGCACTCAGAAAGAAATAACTCTTACCTGATATACTTATACTACTTGTATTCTTAAAAAAATGTGAGAAATGACTTTTACTCCAGTTTGCAGATATGTGTATTGAAGCTCATTTTGGAGTTAGTCTAACTTAAAACGTGCACTTTTTTTAATATGATATGGAGAATGAATATATATTAATATTTGTCTAAAACATTGTCTTCATTACCAGGTTTGTTTGTTTTTTTGAGCAAAACAATTAAGGCTATCTTGAAAAAAACAAACATTAAATAAAAGTTTGTGGTCAGTCACTTTTATAGTAGAATTTAGTTTCTCATGGATGAGTACCTTATCTTAGTTTGAAAGCTCTAAACTGTCAGTAGATTTTATAAAATAGGTTAATTATACATGATTGAGATTTAAGATAGAATATTATTAATATCTAAGACTTTTGCACTATTGACAACTTAACCTTATTGCAGATGTTTTTAACTGTTATGATCATTTAAAATTAAAAGTTATAAGTAAGGTTTTTTTAATGTAAATATTTCTATATTTTTTAAAGGAAGTATCTTTATAAAGAATTGTTTTTCATTTTACATTATTGTTATTTTTTGCACTCAATTTAATAGCAGGTTATATACATGTATATTTTTTATTTTTCCAGAAACCCTGGCCATGAAGGGCCTCACCCTGAACTGTTTAGGGAGGAAAGAAGAGGCCTATGAATATGTTCGAAGAGGTTTAAGAAATGATCTTAAAAGTCATGTGTGTATCCTTTTTTGTGGTCATGGGGCTAAAAATTGGTACCAAATCTGCTGCTGTTTTTTTTTAAGAACTAAAAGAAGTGTTATTGTTTTCAAAACATGGGTCAAAATCAATGATTAATCTTAAGCTTTTATTTTTCACTTAGTATTCACTCAGTAAAAATTGCTTTATGGAATTAATAAATCAGATTTGATAGTAAAAGGGTTAATTTTATATCATTTATGTTATCCTTAAATGTAATAGATATTTGAATACCTTCTTTTGTGCAATATGAACATTCAAAGTAATGACAAAAAAGTTGTTAATCCTTCAAATTACATTTATTACATTTAACCGAATAATCACTTACAGAACATCCAAGCTTTACTTTCAACTTTCAGTGCCTAGCCCCAACTTCTCCAACCTTAACCTCTATTGTTCTCAAAATCCCCACCTTCTACAGAAATCCGCTTCTCAAACCATGCCTGTTATTAACCCTAATTGTTCTATGAATCCTCGACTTTCAGCGGACGGTCAGTCTTTGTTGCTCAGAACATGTTTTTTTTTAACTAAACCAATTATTGACTAACTTTCAGTGTCACGTTAGTTGCCACAAAGATTAGGGCTTAGATGCCTAACTTCGAAAATTTGGCCAGAGTCAAGTATTACCGGGTAGTCAGGGCCGAGTATCTGGCTGGGTACCCGTGCATCCCTAGTGAATACATTAGGATATTATTATTTGTAGTCTGAGATTCTGTAACTAATGGTTGTCCACATGAGCCAAAGAACATTACAAATGCAGTGAGGTGGATATTATAATCTTAAAAAGAACTTTTTAACAAAATACCAAGGAAGAACATTACAATGAGTAGATATTGAAGCTGTAATTTTATATTTTTTGTAAATGTTAGCACATCTGCAGGATGTTTAAAGTTGCATGTGCAAATAGAGAATATCTTTTCATCTAATTGCTTTGTGTTAGTGATGTGAAATAACTCTTACTAGGTGAAAATATCTCTTTAACTTTAAGGATAGGTTGGCATGTGTATGGGCTGTTGCAGAGGTCAGACAGGAAGTATGATGAAGCTATCAAATGTTACAGGAATGCTCTAAAATGGGACAAGGTAGGAAACTAAAATATCTATATAATTGTTTATATGCCAATATTTGGAACATGATTTATATAAGAAATTAGCATTGACAATTGTAATGATAAAATGTTGTACTTTAGGATCTTTAAATTTTATTTGAAAGTGTTTTACTTGTACCTTTAGTTATTCTTTGGATGAAGTCTTACTTTGTTAAAATATATTTATGATCTTTCTCCAGGTAAATTTCTTGTATGTTAAGAATAGGACCTTCTACCTTGTTGAAGTGCTTGATTGTCTAGAGCAGTGTTGTCTTAATGCCGGTCTGTGGACCAGTACTGGTTCTTGAATTAATTTCTACTGGTCTGCAACATGTCTTGACTGTTGAAAGCACTGACACTAATTTACGTTTTTTTTTCAATATTTGATGACTAAAAGTTGCTTAGTCCTTTTTCTGAAATTGTTTTGGAATATTATCAGTCTGTGATTGCCAAAAATCTAGGAACCACTGGTCTAGGGTACGCTAGTGCATATAACACATTACTGCAGTGCATTCCAGTATACAGTAGAATGCCAATTTTCCAGAAATATCAAATAACCACAAGCTAAATATTAATGTAATATTTCACTGGTACAAAACATTTAACTTACAATGTGTTCAAATTTCACTCCATATCTGTGCACGTTTAAGTGGTGCTCTTTACAAATACAGTAATTACAAATGTTAAAATGCATATTATAAGCAGAATTTTGTGTGTATTTAAATGTTTAATAACATACACAGTTTGTTATAACCTTTAACTCTTTATATTAATTTTTGTATGGGTTTTCATTATTAGTTTCAGGTTTAAATTTTGATTTTCAGTTTTTATATTGATTTTAATGTCAGTTGTAAGCTGTAATTTTTAATATTCACTGTTGGTATTGATTGTTTTCATGGTGAATTGCTAATTTCATTGAAACTGTTTGATTTCACATACATGCTCCCTGTATGAACATTAGTTAATTGTTGACATGCATTTTACTTTCCTCAACATTATGAGTTTCTTAGCTAAGTTAAGTTGGATAATAAATCTTACATTCTATGTGGTTTATTATAAACTATTAATTTTTTGTTATTGCATACATGTAAATTTTATTGAACAACTGTTTCCTTTTTTTTGTTTGAGGTGCATCACCTAGTTATTCTGTTGCCAGGATACGAACTAGATTAGAGCAATAATAAAATGTTCTCAAGCCTACTGGTTTAATGTTGATTGAGGATTTTACTGAGTAATTCCATGATATAAGAAGTGTCTTTTAGTTGGAAAAATTTGTTTTGCTGACATAAAATAATGTTCTGGTCCATAATAGTTGGTCACCTTCAGATTACTGTTACAGTCAAACATTACATGGGATGTTGCAGTTGTAAACAATATGTACAGATATATCAAGTTAATAATGGAATTTATAGGTGGTGTTAATAGAGAAAGTAAGTAAAGATTTACAAGGCTATTGTTGTTTTATTTACTTGCAGGATAATATTCAGATTCTACGAGACCTTTCTCTTCTTCAGATTCAGATGAGGGATCTGGAAGGCTATCGGGTGTGTACTTTACCTTTATTGAATAACAACAGTGTACTTGAAATGGCGTAAGCTAATTTTTATGTAATTTAAAGGAAATGTCTTTACAGTCATTGTCAAAACAACACATTTACTCAATTACACACCATAATCATATATAAGACGGGAGTTGGTTGATTTGTCTTTAAATTTCCATGGGCCACATTTAAATAAAATGTATACCCTCGTCTTTTTAAAAAAATTACCATTTGTAATTTCAAAATCACAAACTTTAAATCAAGCAATTATAGGTTTATATGAATTGTCAGATTCGTAACACTGTATATTACATCACTATACATTTGTTGAATTTAGTAGTTTGTTTCCGTTTGTTGATAACAACCAGAATACTTTAAATCAAAATGAGAGTATTTGTAGGCATTAGACAGCCATATATATATTGGGGTGAGAATTTATCCTGTTTCCCATGATGAGCCTTTAACATTATGCAATATAGAAGGGTCAAAGTGCACATGGCATAACTTTTTTACAGAGTTACATTCAAAATTTAATTAAATTACTTTATTCTCAAATTTGATGACGAGGAACCTACTTTGAGACTAATAATGGTTGGAGATGGCTTGAATGAGTAATGAAGCAAAACTTGAATACAAGTTTAATATAACAGCAAATATACAACGTTTCGACAAGGTTTTGTCATCATCAGGTCAAAACGTTGTACATTTGCTGTTATGTTAAACTTATATAAAGTTTTTCTTCATTAATCATTCAAGCCGTTTCCAACCATTACTTTATTATCAATAAAAGCTATTAAAGTCAGTATCAAAATATAATTTATAAGTCAAATTTTTATATTATCTAAGTTTTAATTTCGTAATTTCAAAATGAAACACTTAACCCTCTCTCTCTCTCTATGGATAAGGCAAAAGTGTGCGTGTCACGAGATTTTACTGAGTTATATTCAAAATTTAATTAAACTATTTTATTATCATTGTATATGAACAAGCTTGGCATCAAAACATAGTTAATAAATCACATTTTAATATATATCTTTGAAGTTCTTAATTTTATAGAGAAAAAAATCTCAATCACCCCTATTATGAGAATTGTGACATTTACTCTGTAGGTTTTCCCTCTTCTATAATTTATTTACCACCCCTCCAAGACATATGGAATTTAATGTAAATTACTTATTATATTACAGATATTACTCAGGCAAAGCATAATTTTTTATAGCCTTCAATCTTATTTGTTTATGGAGCCATAAACTAGAAAATCGGACCCACTTGCCATGCCCTCCCATCGCATCTTTCAAACTATACTATATTTATACTATATTATTTATAACTAGTAGAAAGCCAAAATTTTAATGTATCAAATGATGATTATATTACACTATTTTCTCTACAGAGAATTGTCTATTTCTTGGTTCACTTTCAATTTTTTTCTCACAGGAATTACATGGACTAGCTTAGCTGAATTTTTAAAGGCTTTTATTTCATAATTAGAAAGCCAGAAAAATTATGGTTGTTATAGAACGTTTTTTGCTTTTTGCATATTATTATTGTGTGTTTTTAAGTGCATTATTTAATTAAATAAAAAATGTGGTATAGTATTACCAGGGATTTCCAGATAATTATTGTTATTGGCCACAGAAGTGCACAAGTGCAAAGTCACAGTTGCAAATATATAATTTTCCATAATCAAAATACTAGGTTATTGTACAGCAAATAACAACTGATAAAACATCTACAGGACTATTACATGTTGAGTTTGCATTATTTATTTCAAGGCAACTGTACTCCCACTAGTTGTAAATTGACTATAAGAACATCGCCATGATTGCTAAACATTTCTCTGCTATTTGGCTGCAGGGGCAAATGTTAGCACCAAAAACAAGGCATTGACATATGGGTGCTTGGCAAATAAGAGTCAGTGATATATCAGAAGATAGCTGTCTTTAATGCTCTTCATTGTTCTGAGTAGTGTTTTTGTATCCAGAAGCATTTTTTATTTGAAACACACAAACAAAAGTTAAAACCATTAATAAATACCTATTGGTCATTTAATTTGCCAGTCTGTAAGCTTTTACAAAGACAGACAAACAAAAACTAACAGACTTTTCATATGTAAGTTGTAATGGTTTTTTCATTTTAGTGGTTTAGGGTGTCAGTGAGCCAGTCTCTGGTATTGAAAAGGTTGAGAAATATTGCACTATAATACTGACTGATGGTCAAATCTCCTTTTTTTTTCAACAGTCAAATTGACTTACTCGTTGGCATAGGGTTAACTAACTTTTCTGTTCTTGTTTTGCAAATATTCTAGTGTTATTTTACAGAAACAGGCCTTTTTTAGTAAATATGTCTAGACTGAAAAATTCAAGGTTATTTTCTGATGTTTTTATTACAAGAGCACACTTAATATAGGGTCAGGCATGACTTATTGGTTACTGTGCCCAGAGTGTGAATATGAGGATTCATGGTTTGCATTCCTTGTAGTAAAACTTGCTCCACACTTTGAGACTATGAATGCACTAAAAAAGTGAGGGTCAAATGAGTACCCCAAGAGTTGGTGGTGGGTGCTATTGACTGGCATTTCATCTAGTCTATCAGTTACAAATAATGCGCGACTGTGTAGATAGACCTTTGTGTAGCTTGTGAAAATGCAAAAAATCAACCATAAGTACAATATAGTGATTATATTTCCCATAATATTTAGTCTGATTTGCTCTTGTCCTCTACTATTTTTTGTTAGGCTCACCAGAACATTTTTTAGTTTTAATGAAAATTTTATAACTTACTAGGATATGCTACTTTTAAAAAATAAAAATAAGTATTGTTTGTGAGGAACAGATACTTTAGATTTAGGCAAAACAATACCTAAACAGCATTTAGTGGTCTGCTAATGCAACTACAAGCTTTGCAGTGAAATATTACATTCCAAAACAAACTTACCTCCGTTACCACTTATAGCTATTACTCGACTGCCAGGGTTTCAAACTTTGCCCATCTAAGCACTGGTCTGATTTTTTCTTGATTGCTCTAGTTTTTTTTTAACTCTCTCAACACAGACTTGGTCAATTTGACTGTCCATGTAATCTCTTTGTACTCTTTTAAGGTCTTTATAGATTTAATACTTTTAACTTTCAATATAGTGTGTATATCTTCACAAAATTTGGCATTCTTTCAGTTAATATTATAAGTTTTCACATACAAAAAAATCTTATTTTTAAGTGAAGTATTTTTATTAAAATGAAATAAAGATTTGTCCATGAATATATTGAGTATTTGTTTTGAATAGTCCGTGTGCCAGGTAATTATCCTGTTAAAATTAAAAATACTTTTCCTCATCTCAAAAATCTCATTTCCTTTGTACAATCCCTAAAACCTCCTAAATGCATTTCAAACGTTTTTTTTTTTTCAGTAAAACTTTATAGTTTATCTGTTATTTTCTCTTCCCTATCTCAAAACTGGATCAGTCAATCCTACTGATGAAATAAACCTAAATTACTCTTCTTTTTTCTTTCTAGAATGACTTGTAACATGAAACTACATTCGTTTATCCTAAGTAGCTCTAAGTTCGTAACAGTATACATCTACTTATCATTAAATTTTATTATTTTGTTATCCTTTGAACCACTGCTGTCTGCACCATTATAAGTTGTAAATCACTTGGGCAACGTGCAGCTCACATTATGCTATCGGATTACATTACCCACAAGCTGCTCGAGTGTGTGCCGCAAGAAACATTTTTATTATAATATTATTATTATTATTTATTTTACCTAGTCTAATCTTAACAAACCTAAAAGAATCTCTATATTTGCATATTAGATATTTTATAATTATACATAAAGAATAAACATGAAAAACAAGAAATAAAATACTTAACCAATCTTCTTTTTTCTTCTTCCTGTTAGTTTTCAAAGAGACTTAACTCTAATTTGTTATACTGTAGATAGTAATGCACCAAAGAATATAGACTAATAACATGCAAAAAATTGACAAATTCACTTACCTCTCAAAATTTTTCTGCCTTTCTAACTATTCGACAAGAGCTGTTACAAATTCATCTAAGCTAGTCGTTAACTTTCCCATGGAAACAATGTTGGTACTCTGAGTGAAATTGACATCTAACTGTTCAGAACATAACGTTATGCAATACATCATTTGATAGATGAAAACCTTGACTTTCTGTGGGTTATATAATGATACATAAAAGAGAACTATCAATGAATTCTGAAAGAGAGGGTGTGGCAATAGGGATCTGATTTTCTATTCAATAGCTCTGTAACCAAATAAAATTGAAGGCTATAAAAATTATGGTTTGTCTGAACAATAACGATTTTATAGAGAGTAATTTATGTTTAGTTTCATACTTTTTTGAGGGGTGGTGGATAAAATAGGGATATTGACATGCTAAGAGAAAATGTGTCACATGGGTCACACTATTGGAAATTCAGGATTATTTTTTATATTGCCTTGTAGAATTAAGAACCTAAAACTTGTATACTATTAAAATATGGATTATTAGCTTAGATTTTATGCTATTCTAATTGGTATAATATAAACAAAAATAGTTTAATAAAATTTTTAATGTAAGACACTAAAACCTTGTGTCATGCGCAGTAAAGGATACCTGTGGCGATAAAGTTAAATCCCACTCAATTGCCCTTGGTGATATATTCTCCACCTATGTCAATGTGCTCTCTATCCTGGCACTGTATGTAAGCTCCTCATTCAGATAATTTTATCACTTTTTCTCAACAAAGCGTTTAGACACAGGTTTCTCTACACAAGTGCTGCGATAATTAATATACTTGGTTTGCGATTTTCATGTAACCTAGTGGCTTTCTGTATAAATTATATTTAATAATTATTATATTAAATAAAAAATTGCGACACACCATTTTCAAGCATGAGTTTACAGATTACTGTTTCCAGCACGAAGGCTTATCACCCCTCCTCTATTCCACCTCTGTTATCTAGCATCTCAAAGTTCAGGGGAGTCACTCTCAGTTG